CTTAAAACAATTGAAAATATCTGAGTGAATGGGATGAAAACATTTTCATGTGACCTTGAATTGTTGAGTAAATGTCACGAACTCGTTTATATTGAGATACTCACTGTGGTTTTAATATTATATTTTAAAATGAAAAACTTTTATCATTTTTTAAAAAGGATTGTCACATGAGAGAAAGCAGCTCCTTTATGAACCGCCCCCTCCTCCCATCATGCTCCACCTGCTGCGCCCTACAGGTGACTTTGGATGTGAAAGCCAATTAATCCTAATTAAGCTGCGGCCACCGGCAACAATCACACTCATTAATCAGGAGCAGTCGTCAGAGTGCGTCCAGAGACTGTGAATGACACAATGATTACACCGGCGGGGAATGTGGGTCAGTGCATGTGTTAATAACCCCGAGTGGCGGTGAAGCAGGCGGAGAGAGAGAAGGGGGGGTTGTTGAGAACAACGCAGATTCAAACATCACGATCTCAACATGACGTTCTCCAGGATGTTCTCCCTGAGAATCTATAGCCTTCAAAGGTTTGTGTAAAGCGACAGATCACGGACCTCACGGTGATAATTAGAAATAAACGATCGAATTACAAACTCGAGTTTGCAGAACTCCTGAAGTCCTGTTTTTACTGTTTAACTCTTCTAAAATGACACGTTGTCCTCTAATGTCCAGTTCTGTGAACAACAGAGGAGGCAGCGCGGCTCCGGGTGTAAACCAGCAGCCATTCATCTTTTTCTTATTACTGCCAACTGTCCCAGACGCTCATTATTCAGCCACTGGCTGCAAATGTCTCCAACAAACCGCTTGTTGCTTCCTGTTAAATGACCGCAGCTCTATATTAGGAGATGAACACAGGCCTCAGAATAACCGACAGCACATTATTCAAGAGGAAACTCGACACGGCCACTGTCTCCTCCACAGGAAGAGATATCCACAGCACCAGATAACCCACAGAAACACAGAGAGACAAGTGTGGACCAGCAGACGGACTGGACTGGACTGTAGCTGGGGACACGTACCGCAGATGTCTCACAGGAACTTTTTGGGAAATGAACGTTGTCATTAATCAGTTAACTTCCTCAGTCGTACCTCCATGGAGTCCTTTAGGTCCCGTCAGGTGATGTTTTTTATCATGTGCACAAGATTTTGAGTTTTTCACACAAAACAAATATCGACAAATATATTTTGTGCACAAGATGATTTATTAAAAATCATTTGCGACTCTAATGACTTCAGACACAACCACCGTGATTGGAGAGACTCAGCTCGTCAAGTTTTCTTTTTACTTCGTCACAGAGTGAACGTCTTATGCTTTTGTCTGGATCCGGGGTTAGGGGTTAGGGTTAGGGTAAATATTGTGTGTGAACAAGTTAATATCTTGTGCCCACAAGATCAGTGTCAAGACTTCATAGAACCTCTGCATGTCCAGGATGTGGTTAGCCTAGCTTAGCACAATGACTGGAAGCAGGGGGAAACTACTAGCCTCCAACAAAACCAGATCAAGACACCTTCCAACATCTGTCTGATTAACTTTTAGTAATTATGAAATAAAGATAAATCAATGTGTCTGATTTTATCATCAAGATCCATGAATTCATCTCTGAGAGAAGAAAGAAAGAAATCCTGAATCTGTGCTCGACCCATCAGGAGTCAGTGTGAGCTGTCAATCATCACGTCTCCGCCTGTTTTCATAAAATAAATAACTGATTAAACCGAACTGATGACAAACGCTTGAACAAACATCAGAGAGATGAGAACGAGCTGAAACGACAGAAACATCTTTACACACATTTATTTAACGTTTGGTCCRTGTCCCATCTGCTAACATGGAGGAGGTTTATGAGCTATACTGCAGCCAGACACCAGGGGGAGCTACTGATGATTTGCCTCACTTTTGGGAGCCGTCATGTCGTCCATCTTTATTTACAGTTTATGGTACATGTAAATTAAACTTCTTAGAAATCACAGAATCACTCTGTTTGTTTTACTTTATTGAAATGATAAATTATTATAAGTGTCTTATTACGATATTTTATTTCACTTCATTTATGTTTAGCTTCAGGCGCTTGAAGGGGCGGAGCTCACAGTGTGTACTGATGAGTCGCTGCTGGTGGAGGCGGAGAACGCTGTGATCCCAGAATAGGTCACAGAGCGACAGCAGCTGTTGGCAGCACATAGCGCTCCGGTTACTATTCTGAAGGCCGCACGTTAAGGGGGAAAGCATGTCCGGCTAACGCAGACAGCTGTATGAGTGTTTCTGGGAGTATTTCATTAACGTGACCATAGCCTATTAATGTGTCCATGAATTAATGAAACATTTGAACCTTTTTACGAATGCACGGCTCCTGTCATGTTAGTTTGTAAGTTGTAATTGGTTTAAATCCCTGAAAACCTTTTTAATCCATTAATCAAATTTGGTTTGTTTTTAAGTACAAATATAAAAATTAATAAACAAACTTTCATTTATTTCCTTTTATTGAGAGAACCATGAATACTAGAATGTGTACACTTAAATCACTTATAACCAGAAAATGTGTTAATTTTACTATTTGGTATTTAGTACTGACGTTGAAGTAACTAAATGCTTCAAGACTTTCTGACGACGTTCAGTGGCCATGACAGAGCACAAGCTCGTACGGGTGAGTTCAAGCGGAAGGCTGCGACTCAGCTGTCGATCTGTGGACAAACATTAGTGACGGAGTTTGATTCTGGATGTCGATGGGCAGCGGACTGAAGGGCGACCTGCCACGAGGTCGTCGTAATCAAACGTTTTACTCTTTGAATTCAGCAAAATCATTCTCCTGAACCTTCCCCTGTTCCCTTAAACACTTGAGGTGGTTTGGGCATCGAGTCGGACGCCTCCTGGGCGCCTTCCAGTGCAGGTTAACGGGAACGCCCAACCGGGAGGAGACCCGGGGGTAGAGAAAAGCATTAGTAGAGCCTGCACTCTACGTGTTCGGACATCAGACGACCAGCAGCGGGACAAACGAGGGATTTCTAACAGCTCTTGAACGGTGACATGTTCAATGAAAGTCCGGCTTCTTGTTTCCTCAAAATGTCAGCGTCATAGAGTTGACGGCTCTTTGAACTGAAACTGCCCTTCATCTCCTCACATTCCTGCTCTCGCTCTCATGCTTCCACCTTAACGAATCGAGTCAGAGTTCATTTGAGATAAGATCTCACTGCTCGGCAGTTTGTTCCGCCTGAGGGAATGAATCTACTTGAACTCTCATACTTAACTTCATTACGCTCCAGTTGCTCGTAAACGGAACCTGGACTGGACCTGGGATCTGATGATCCAGTGTGTCGCTGCCCTACCTCCACGTCCAGTGACCGACAACAATCTCCCATCATTGATTCCTACATAAACACACATTTCCACACCCACTGTGGAATGATCCAATCAAATCGAAGGATTTTATTCAATCCAGTGATTCAGAAGAATTTTAAAAAATCAAGGGAGGAAAAACCTTAAATCATAATTTAGTTAGTTTTTTCCGCTGAATATAAATCAGATGTTTGTGATGAATCGATGAATCATTTAAATGACACGTTCTCTAATCTTGTCGTAAAATAACAGGTAACTTCCTGATAATGCTACATAGCCACCGTTAGCATTAACAGCTGTTTGGATTTATTGACGGATCATGTTCTTCTTCATGGCGTCGCCGTCCACCGCCTTCGTTTCTGCTTTGTTTGTAGTTACGTCCGCATGCCTCCGCGTGAGCTCATCAACCAACAGACTGAACTGTTCTATCTCCTGCAGCAAATCTAAACAGTTCGGACTCAGTTTGATGAATCACTGGAAGTTACGTACTCTGAGAAACACACAAAGTCCTTAAAGACCCAGAAATCAGCTCACCTGATAGATGACGACCCGGAACTTGTTGCGGGTCAGCAGCTCGTCCTGTGTAGATTCAACCTTCTTGACTCGCACGTTTTGCTTCTCCACACGCGTCCGCACCTCTTTGACGTTGGCGCTGACTTTGCGGGTCTTCTGCAGGAGCTTTTCCACCGTGCCGCTGGTGTCGGTGTGGTCCTTGGCCAGCTTCAGGACGTCGCCCTGGATGCTCTTGATGTTGTTCTCCAGCTCTAGCTGACGCTCCTCCATGCGCTGCTGGCAGGACTGGACGTTGTCGATGATGCCAGCCACGCGCTCCAGCAGCGACAGGATGGTGAGGCCGCTGATGGGGTTTCCAGCCTCATCCTCCACCCCGATGATCTCCAGCTTCTCCTGGACGCCCGCGGTGCGATACTTGTGCTGATCCATTGGAGGGTTTTGATGATTTGTGTTGCAAATCTTCTATCTGTTGGTTTAGAAACTTGCGTAAAAGTGGCAGATGTGTGGTGTAGCTGAGGAAGCGGGAGCGGGATCGTTGGGGTTACCAGCAGGGAGACCGGAGAGAGGCGACACCCGACTGCTGTGACCAAACTCAGGTCTGCGGACAGGGGGAGAGGGGAAACTCCACCTACCCTTTTTAAAAAAAGTCTTCAGATCCAGAGGGAACCTGAATTCAGCCGCGGAGTGGGGAGCAGCAATGCTCACACGAACCCCCCCGGCTAAAAATACAAACTCTTTGTAAGGCGACACTTGGACATTTTGGGAAGATGCGAAGCAGGAGGATGGAAATCCCCACCCACGTCCTGCTCTGCTATGATACACCCACGAAGACCAATTCATGATTTTCCATTATTTGCTGAAATGCCAGCAGCTGTGAAACATGTACATCAGCAGCAGCTTAGGCGTCATCCTGCAGCTCTGCAGTGACAGATGTAGAGAGGCCACAGTTGTCTGGTTAGATTACACAGTGCTGGAATGTTTCGGGGGATTAAACGCTGCAGCTCTGCCCTTTATATTTTCCCGCGAGGAGCAGAGTCCAAACATTGTCTTGGACTGAGATCTGCAGCTCTTTATAGAGCTGACAGAGTGACGAGTCGCAGTGACACTGTTGCAACGCTCGCTGCATGGAAGGGTTTATTCATCCCGACCATTATTTATCATGTCTCCGCTGATTCACTGATGGTTTAACTGCACGAGACCAAACTCATTAACTCTGTGAAGCTGGATCTCCACCATCGGTTCGGACCAATCAGTGTCCAGTGAGGGAGGATCTACGGGCAGCTGTGGGTGTGTCTTCGGTGTTTGTCAATGACAATGGCGTCTCCTAAAGAGGTTATGGGGTCGACGCAGCGAAGCAAAGAGCAACACTGAAGGTATTTCTCATGGAGGAGGAACGTGGATCTGAGATTCTCCTGTGACAAACATCGAGACTGTTTCCCAACCTGAACTCAGGATAATGTGAAGGTTCTCCTGCAAATTCCCAAATGAAAACGTCCAGAACAACGTCCAGAGCTTCTCACAAACATGTGATCTCTGCTGTGATGCGTCGTCCCTCCTCCGGCTGCCCCGCCCTCACCTGAACGCTCAGGTTTCTGTTGGTGTGGACGAGTCTGAGCCGAGAACCTGCTGCTGCCTCGTTCATGTGAAGTCGGAGGTTGTGTTCACTGACACGTGTTCATCAAGCGACACAAACTGATATTTGTTGTTCAGGAGGGCAGCACCTCCTCAGACTTTCAATGAATGAACATTGGATTTTTTGAGTTGGCAGATTATTGAACCTGTTCAACTGAAGCCAGCAGCTGCTTCTACCCCCCCGCCCCCCCCCGCCCAACCTCTAACTCTATATTTACCCAGGGCAGCGTGCCTCAGGCCCCGCCCCTGGCAGAACTGTACACTCGTTTATATTCGTGACGAGGCGACGACCTCTGCTCCGGTTCTGCTTCTGTTGACGAGCAGAACTCTGGATAATCTCCTGACGTGTTCCTGACATGTTCCTCACATGTCCCTCACATGTTCTGCAGGTTCTGTGTGAGAGAACAAATGTCTGAGTCAGCGTCTCTGGAACTTTTCTGGAACTTTTCCTCGTCAATGAGTTGGACACAGACAGTCTGCTGCCTCTGCTGATGTCTTCAGTGTTAAAGAGGGAAACATGAGAAGATGGTTTGTATGTTGTAATGTTGATCTTCAGTTTGGAATCAGGACCCAGAGTCTGCACCCCCCCCCACACACACACACACAGCTGTGTGAGATCAGAAATGAAAACAAACCTCAGCAGACAGAAAATAAAAATAAAAACTTGAATGAAGCGACACACGTGGACGTTATGCGTACGTTAAAAAACATTTCCTCTTTTTATTTTGCCAGAGACCAAAAACAGCCTCTACAAGTCTACATGCAATGAATATCAACATGTCAAACACATTCTAGTCACATCTAGAGAAGTCACGGCTGTGATGGTCGACAACAAGACACACGCTGCTCAGTGGGGGGGGGTGCTGGCCTACGACCTGTAGACACGACAATATAAATAAATATAATAAAAACTCTAAACACACACAGACAAGACAAACCTCCCCAGAGTTTCAGTCCGTCCTCCTCAGACTCAGGAAGGATTTGGACTCTTCTGTCACGAGGACACACGTCATGAGAGTCGGAACATTTTGCAGATCTGTGAATAACGACGGACGACACGATGCAGCTCCCAAAAGTGAGGCCAAAGCATCTTTATCTCCCCCTGGTGTCTGGCTGCAGTGTAGGTCATACACCTCCTCCATGTCAGCAGATGGGACATGGAGCAAACTAAAGACGTTTAACAAATGTTTGTCAAAGATGTTTCTGTCATTTCAGCTCGTTCTCATCTCTCTGATGTTTGTTCAAGAGTTTCTCATCAGTTTGGTTAGAATCAGTTATTTATGATATAAAAACAGGCGGAGACGTGATGATCGACAGCTGACACTGACTCATGATTGAACCAGGAACCATCTTCCTGGCGATATTTTAGCTTCATGTTAACGGGAGAATGCGGAGATGTGGCGTCCATCGTTATTGACAGTCTATGGTCACAACACAGCTCCGTCAGTACGCGACCAAATCTGCAACAGGTGTATTTTCTTGTCCGTCAACAGTCACTTGACTTTCTACAAACAGTATTCGTCCGTCTGTTTAAAGCTCAGACGTCTTTGCATTATGACACCGGGACTTTGAGACAATAGGTGACACCGGTATCTGTTCGCATCAGAGAGGACACGTGGCCGGTGTCACATTTGTTCGGATTCAAACGTCTCCCCGACGAGGAGGGTTTTCAGATCTGTGCTTGGAATGTCTCAGTGAGGAGCGAATGCAAAATTAAAACAAAGAACCACATTCAGAGAAAATCCTTGATTTCAACCGAGACGTCTTCCAATTACGTGGAAGCGTTACAATCAACACATCGACTCTGTTCCTCGTGAACGTTGAGGTGGTTATAGAAGACGAGCTCCCAAGTACCAGCCAATGTTTTGGTTCTCCCCCTGAGAAAGACGGATTTAAAACATGACACGTTCCTTTTGTTAACACCGAATAAAACCTTCTCACTCAGTCTCCCGATCTTCTGTCCGACTTCCGACACGTCGCCGGCGGCTCTGAGGTGGCGGAGGCGTTGACGCCGTCAGCTCTTCTTTTAGAAAGTTAAAACTACACCACACTACACAGTTTTCACAAGTCATGCGAATATACAGGAGCTAGAATTTAGAAAGCAATGCTTAAAATAAAACATAAAAACCTTAAGTCAAAAACTATAATTGTTACAATAATAAATTATTAGCTCGTTTAAACAGTGAAATCTTTACACGGAACTTCAAACCAAAGAATAAGTGTAAACATACGTATCTATATCACTGGCTGGCCCCTCCTACACACGGACGAAACCAAAACATTAAAAACAAACTGCATTTGGTGATCAGCTGCTCGTTATTAGTCAAAAGTGGAACAGAGTAGAAAATAATTATTTCCAATAAATAGCACATTCCAGAGGGGCGGACATTACTCTGTTAGCCAGTTAACTAAAGGTGCCGTATTTATAAAGCATTCAACTAAACCTCGGATGAAGCAGTTAAAGTAATTAAGACGTCACATGTGAATGACATGAAGTGACATCAGGTTTCTGTCGATTCAGATCCTTGGGCGTGCGGCAAAAAACCCAAAAAACATAAAAAACAAAATCTAAATTTATGAATGCACCAAAATTCCATCCGAACAAAAAGGAGAGACAATAAGGCCCCTTAAATAAATATTCTCATTCTTCTTCTCGACGGTTTCCCAAGAGGAAAAAATAATCAATAGCACAATTCTACCGTTAAAAAATGTCTTTCCCACACCGTAAGAAAAAACATATCAAAAAGAACGACCGGCAAACACGGCTATACCATCCTGGAGTTAGTGTCCGAGGAAAAGTGTCCAAGGTTTTGTTTCTGTCTGCGACCTCGGTTGTTTTTTGGACATTTCCTGAGGAGATGGAGAGAAAGGTTCGTTTTACTTCTCGACTCGTGAAATATATCAATCTCTCAAATCAAAGTATTTCAACCCCTGAGGTTTGGAACATGACCCAAGAAGGAACTTTTATTTTTGTGAGATCCAAATTAAAAACTTGATCCAGTGAATTTAAATGTTTTCACGAGGAGACTGTTGGTGGAGGTGTGAACTCCAACAGAAACACATTTATCCGCTCATATTTCAAAATTCAGAAAGTGTAATGAAATCCTGTTGATTTCAAATGATCCTTGATTTGACCCCCGACTGCTCGTAAACCTGGTTAATCCTTTAATACTGAATCAAGAACTTTCCTGCTTTCACAAAAACAAACCCCAACCACAGTCGAATATTTTGGATTGATCCGTAAATGAATGGGTTTCATTTGTTTAACAGATTTACCTTGTGATGCACATCACCACAGCGACGATGATGGCGATTTGCACGGCGCCGATGATGGCGGCGATGAGGACGTAGTGCAGCTTCTGTCCACTGGGGACCACGTAGAGGATGTTGAAGTCCTGAGGCTCGTCGCACTGTGAACCTTTGTAACCTGAGTCACATCTGGAACACGCAGGACCGCGATCGTTAAATAACTGAACACACGTGACAACAACAGGAGCACACGTTTGAGATGATTCTGTTAAAACGTCCGTGAACAGATCAGGGACGATGGACGACATGACGGCTCCCAAAAGGGAAACCAAACAGTCTCAATTGCCCCCTGGTGTCTGGCTGCAGTATAGCTCATAAACCTCCTCCATGTTAGCAGATGGGACATGAACCAAACTAAAAACTCAAAGTAGATGTTATTGTCATTTCAGGTCGTTCTTATCTCACTGAGGTCTGTTCAAGTGTTTCTGTTTGGTTTGAATTAAAAACAGGATCTCTGACAAACCTGCAGGTGGCCATGTTGTACTTGATCTCACATTTCCCGTGAACGCAGAAGCTGGCGTAGCTGTCAGCGCAGGGAATCGGCATCCCGGCGTAGAAACCGTCCCCGTGATCCAGACCTGTGGTTTCTGAACAAGTCCAACGGAGAAGAACAGAAGACATGAGAGGACGACTGCTGCTGCTGCTGCAGATGCTAACAATCCTTAATACAAGGAACTCTTTGCATGTGAACCACACAACAGTCCGTGATCGGGGGGGTTGTACTCATTAAAGTGCTGGAAGCTTCAGGCTGCTGAACACACCTGATTGGTTGAGTGCTCCAGCATTTTATTTCAATCATCATTTTTAAGAACCTGCAGCTGCATATACAGTTGTTTCTATGACGACAGAGTCCCGAGTATCTGCTGAGGAGGATATTCAGAGAGAAACTGTGCAGCTGCAGTCTACACAAGCTTCTGACACAGCTGCTGCAGCTCTACTGACATCCTCAACATCGGACGTTTGAAATCTTCCACACGAACCCACCTCAGCTCAGATCATCAGGAGTCGGACACATGGACTGAGCCGTGTGTCCGAATCCCGAACACGTCTCACACTTCAGTCGTTATCGTGATGAACATGATGAAAAAAGACTTTGAAGGGAACAAAAAGAAAACTTCCTTACCTAAGACATTTATTTTGAAAGGGCTGCTGTCGTCTTTCTTCCCCAGTTTTTCTTTATCAGCTGTGGAGGAGACAGACGGACACGGTCAGCGTCACTTCCTGTGGCTCAGTGAGAACAACCCGGAGAGAGACGGTGGTGAAGACCAACACTGTGTTTTTTTCTCTGTCGACAGGCCTCCTGTCTTTATGCTGCTGGGAATGATAACCAGCATACGCACGCACGCACGCACACACACACACAC